TAACAGAAGGCCAAGCTAGCGGGCGCTACTTTCATAAATTATGTCGTAAATCCCCACGAGAGACGCATTCCTAGTTTGTCTCAAACATTTTTTCTGTCTTTTATTCACATTAGGGTATTTCTGCTGCAGTAAGTGACGGATAGCCCTTTAAATCAGTGGTGGATGACACAGCAGTTGAGCCTCGTGTTTAGCCGGCTAGCCCGTCACAGCTTCCACGTTTCATGGACGCTGCGGATTTATCGCTGCTGTTGATCCAGACCTGTTAGACTGATCGGTCAAATGAGGAATATTTAACATTTTCTCCTAAAATTCAGCTCTGCATCTAAGATCTGATGAGTTAGGCTGATATAGAGGCCCCAGAAAGGCAGGGAGAGCAGCTAACTTAGGTTGTCCCTTTAAAATATAAGGTATAACAATGTTTTATTTGTCAAATGCAAGTATAACTTACTTAGGAAACTTAATCCCAATATTCCAAGAATTTAAAGCATACATGAAATGAAGTATGAGTTTTATTTAGTTTGAATGGACTCAACTAAGATTTGTTTATTGCTGCTATGATGGAAAATCTAATTACTTTGCTTTATAGTTTATACTCTTATAAGTAGGCTACTTAAAAAAAATTAGAATTTAATGGTTTAAATATTTTAGTCAATAAGAACGTAGATTAAGTCACAAATTTAGAGCTGTGTATATATAATTATACAACTTTTAAAAGTTGCTAAAATGGAATAAAACAGCATCTATTGTCTTTTAAGGGCATCACTGAAACCCAGAACCATCTATTTGGGGAAAAACAAAAACTTAAAAGTTTTGTAACATGAAGGTGCAAACTTTGAATCGACTATCGTCTTTGTTTAATATTTTACCTTCTACAGATATTTTTATTTGTTGATATAGAGGCCCCCTTTAAGCTCAGGTTTTCATAATTAACTGCAGACTTAAATTAGTCTGGAGGGGGTTGGATTGAGGAGTGGAAAGATGGATGCTGATGGTTTCTTCGGTTTTCGCTCTCGTCAACATGGGAATGTAACTTCTTGATTCTCTTTAGTGTTTTCCATAAATGTTAGAGCATAACATGGACACCTAGATTACTAAACTGTTGACTTGTAATTGCAGTTAAGCAATGTTGAGCATGTGAGGAAATCATCCAGATTTAATCCTTAAAATTTATTTTAACTTGAGAAACCGTTCACCTGACTGACTTAAAAACTATGAACCCTGATTGTTGCAGCTGTTATCAAACCGTTTTTTGCTGCGTCTTCTATTAAAGCTGAAGTCGTACTGGACGATGGGAGCTGGGATTACATCTACTCTGTTTATATTTCCAGTGCCGCCCACCAGAAGCTGTTTACTGTTTACCTGATCAGAGTTCTGTCGTCTGTCCTCGCAGCGCCCCAGACCCATCGCACCATGGCAGATCCCGATCTTGACTTCACGACTGGTGAGTCTGGCGCCTCCGCCACCTACCCTATGCAGTGCTCTGCCCTGCGTAAGAACGGGTACGTGGTGCTGAAGGGACGTCCTTGCAAAATCGTGGAGATGTCCACCTCCAAGACCGGCAAGCACGGACATGCCAAGGTACGTTTGGCTTCTTAAATGTCAGGGTTTGACCCAGTTTTCAAGACTGTTAAAGGTCAAATCAGTTCCTCTAGGTAGAGAACACATTTTTAGACTTCTGTTGGTTTTAGTTTTCTTCAAATATGATTGAAATTTCAGTTTTGTTTTTTTGTTCTTGAGAAATATTGAGCTCTTTTATGTGAATTTAAGCAGCTTTTGGTCAGTTTAGCTGCAGTGAGCTGTTCTGTTTTCTCCTGTAGGTTAACCTGGTTGGAATTGACATCTTCACCAACAAGAAGTATGAAGATATGTGCCCCTCCACCCACAACATGGATGTTCCCTCCATCAAGAGGACAGATTATCAGGTACGCTGGTTTGTGCTAACCAGAGAATGAAGACCTCGCCTGCATTAGGCTGAGCTCCGCTGCAGTGATCCTGAATCAAACTCCAGCCCGTCCTTAATGATATTCTGCTTGTTCAGTTTTCACTTTCCTGATCCTCCATGTTTCAGTCGAACTAAATACTGTTGGCTACTTCTGTTCATGTTGTTGTAGTCTTGCACCAGGTTCAGACTGTAAGGACCACATTTCAGGATACTAGTTCCATGCAGTTATTTTAGGACAAGGCTTGATGCCTTATTTAACAGTTTCTAATCAATTCACTTTGGCAGCTAGAAAGTGTTTCTGCAGAGTTAGCAGGGATTGTGGATCATCGCAGCTGTTTCTAATACAGGCTTTTAGACATGAAGGAAAATCAAAACAGCTGCTGATTGATCTGTTTTCCATTTATTGGCTGTTTTGGGTTTAAATTTGCTTTAAAGGATGATTTCTCTCCCTCGTTAATCTAATGTCTGTAATTTAGGCCATCAGTAAGCCTCGGTGTCGGCCTGCAGCTTCTTTACTTGATGGTGATTTTTCTGGAACCAGTGAGCCATCAGTGCTGAACACTGTCTGGGAAACTTTTCTCTGTTTTGTCCATTATTTCTGGGTTAGAGGAAAAATGATTTGTTTCTAGATGTTTCCAATTTTTAGATTTTAAAAATTAAGGAAAAAAAAGTTTTACTTTTTGAGGTTTCAAAAATGCAGAACATGACTAAATGTCATGTTCATTTCTTACGCTTGAATGTCTGGCTCTGCTGTTAGCATAGCGGTGCGGTTAGCTTAAAGCTAGCAGATTTCATTTATTTTATGTAGAGACTCTACTGGGACCGTTTAGCATTTCCTGTATAGATGGACTGGGTGAGTCCTGTCATTGAAACAGGTTCTGAACAGGCTAGTCCCCTCACTATCCTGCGCAGGGCCAGCCAGTCTATCCCAGTGGGTGATGGACTGACTGGCCCTTCCACATCACCCAACCTGTTTGAAGTTCCTAGATTAGGTGTTGGGGTGAGTGTGGATCATCAGTGAGGATCTTAACGGTCATGGAGGAATGATCGCTGGTTTATTTATTCTAACGTTATGACACCTATGTTTTCTCTGCAGCTGGTTAACATCAATGAAAACTACATGTCCTTGATGGGCGACAACGGCGACATCAGAGAGGACCTGCGCGTCCCTGAGAGCGATGTCGGCAAGGAAATTGAATCAAAGTTCGAAGCCGGTGAAGAATTTATGGTGAGTTTGTTTTCTAATTCTTATAAGTCATTTATTTAATGGCAGAGCTGTTGGCCCCCCTGAATGACCCCCCCTTTGCAGGGAATGTCTGGACTCTGAGCCACGTGTGTAAAGTTTCAGTTGATTGACTTGAACACGTTGCTATCCCTCTCTGCAGGTCACCGTCATTTCTGCCATGGGGGAGGAATGTGCCGTCGCCACCAAGGTCCTGGCCAGCAAATAGGGAGACGGACTTTGCTGCCCAGGCAACAAGCACCACCCACAACCAGTCTCTTGCATTCTCATTGGTTCTGCCACCAAAGCATCGGCCTTCACAGACAACCTCAAAACATTCAGTTGTAATTTCTCCCTCATCTTGATCTTTTTATCCCCCCCCTCCCTTCTCCTCCCCCTCCTCCATATCTCTTTTCCGTTGCTGTTGGGAATGTTCCTCTGCCTGATCCAGTTTTGTTTGGTAACAATCTACTTTATATAAAAACAACTTTAAAAAAAAATCCCGATCAGTTGCTCATTCCTGCTTATTTTGCCTTCAGTGTTGGTTTCCGCCGCTCACATTCCTGAATGTTTAAAAAGAAACAAACTTTGGGGTTCAGCTTTTGTATGATTATTATTTTTGATATTCTTTAGATTAAATAAAGCAGATCTGAGGCGTCTTGGAGGGATGGGGTCAAGGGGAGGGGGCTGCCCCTGTAGATACTTCATTCTGGTTTAGGTTGGCCCTCTAGCAGCCATAATGCTTCCTAGCATGGCCTTGATCCCCCTCCCAATCACTGGTTCAGGGTGGCCGGCACTTAAAGAGCACCTGAGGCCCCCCCAAGCATGTAAAGCTGTAAACCTGAGAAAAGAGAAAAGCTCTTCTTCCCCTGCTTCCCTTCAGGAACAAAAGCTTCAGTAACTTCTCCCTCGTTGTCTGGGGACAGGCCGGTGCACTCATAACGGCGGTCCGATGCAAAGTGGCTCATCCCGCCCCTCCCTCATAACATCCCCCCCCCCATTACAAAAAGTGTTACCTTTTGTTTTTAGAGGCGAGTGTGAGCGTGGCGCGGTGTGGGCCTCCAACCTGTGGGAGGCAGTTTGCAGTGAGGAGTGTGGTTTATTTTATTTTTTTTCTTTGAGGGACTTTATTTGGGTTGGGGAGGGTGGTTCAGTTGCAAACTTTTTTTGTTCACTCGAGGCCTTTGTCACTTGACTGGAGAAGGCAAAAATAAAACAATGATACAAATGGATAAAAACTGCAAACGCTGTCTGGTTTTCTGTCCAAGTTCCACCACATTGGGATCATTCTGTGGGTAGGGAAAAATGTGTTATGTTTTAATTCCTTTACATTTGGCTCGGTGCTGCAGAGTTTCTAAAACCTGAAAAGTTAAGATGTTCATAAGTGTTCTGGTCTTATCATTTGCTATGGAGTCAGTTACTTAAAAATTAAACTATTCTGCTAAACCTTAATCTTTACCAACAATCATTTTGATAACTAGTTGTATACCTGCAAATGTTGAGTTTTAATTAAACTGAGGGCCTCGGTTTTTTTTTTTGTGTGGAAATTTAGAAGGAAAATGTTTTTAAAAAATAACTGCATAAATGATTTTTTACATTTGAGAAGAATTACATTTGAGCTCAAATGAACCAGAGAGGATTCCACAGCCATCTAACCTGAGACTTAACTTTGGTTTAGCGGCCCAAAGTCTTTTTTTTTTTTTTGTGCAGAACAAATACTGCCCTTGTTTAAAGTCTGATCATTTGGAGCTCCAAGTCTTCATCTGAAAACTTAACAATGCTTCATGGAGGTGCTTAATTTCCAGTTAGTATTGGTACCAGAACCTGCTCTGATGACCTCTGTATTGCGAGCAAGCTAAGCTGGACTTCATAGAGGAAGGCAAGGCACGACCATCAAAGATTGACTGGGTAGACCAGCCAGAATATAGTAAAATACCCAGCAAAGGAATAGTTAAAAATACTAAAGCTAAAGGCAAGTTAATTTATAGAATGCAATTCAGTAAATGCACAATTCAAAGAGCTTTACGTGAATTAAAATAGACTAAAGTTGAATAAAGCAGTTGCAACACAACCTTCAACTAAATACCTCGGTTAGCTGTAGTGTATCTTTTTGTTTAATGCTCGATTATATTTGGCAGATATGAGCAGCAGTTTCTTTCAGCTGTATTTTGTTTTAAAGTGGGTTATAAGTAGAGTTTTTATTATTTTTTTATTATTTACATCTGGTCATTCAAAATGGATCCAACATCAAAGTTATGGAGAGACACTCTAATTTGAAAGAACTTTATGCAGCCATTAACAAACTCCAAACCAAACACTGAAGGTGCTTTTATTGTTGCGGGTGACTTCAACCGCTCCAACTTAAAGACAGTCCTCCCCAGATCCCACCATCATGTCTCCTGGACCATGTCTACTCCAACCTGGCTGGAGCTTACAAGGTGTCACCCCCTCCCAGACATCGGTACTCATCCAACGTGTGAAACCTATTGTGAGGACAGTAAAGGTGTCGCCGGGGGCCTCGGATATTGTGCTCCAGGTCCGATTCAGTGTACAGATTGGAAAACTTTCCACCACTCAGACTTTAATCAGTACACCTCATCTCTACTGGACCACATCTCCTCCACCATAGACTGTGTCACCACCCACAATCGTATCACTATGTACCCCAACCAGAAGCCCTGGATGAACCGGAATGTTCGCCTCCTACTGAAGGCCCGCAACATGGCCTTCAGCTCAGGGAATGCACCGCCCTGCAGACCATGTGTTGACTCCCATTGATTTTCAGTCCTTTTCAACCCTAAAACTACCGGTAACCATTACCAATGCCTATCTCACCCTAACCCTATTGACAACTTAGCCCTAAAGCTAACAATTACCAAAATAGCTTCTAAGGACCAGCAAAATGTTCTCACTTTACAACAACTGCTCCTCATTGTGAGGATGAAATTGGAAACGTGGTCCTCACTCTGGAAAAAAATAGAAATCTAGATAAGTCATTTTTTTTCTTAAAATAAGTTAATTTGTTCTTGAATTGGTGAAAGAGTCATTTTGCCAATGGAACAAATTAATTTACACTTAAAATAAGTAAACACAATTGTATTGTCTTATTTCAAGTGGATATTATCTAATTATATTAATTTAAGAGTAAAAATACTCATTCTATTGGCAAACTATCTCATTTACCTAGTCAAATTAAGGGTAAATAAACTTAATTTAGGAAAATTAAACTTTTTTCTAGATAGTTTTTCAAGTGCACTCTGATATCTAGATGGGTATAATCGCACACACACTGTCATATGGACTGTCTGCACACACGCACAGACACAACAATCTACAGATCCAACACCACTTACACGTATTTCTCAACTGTAGCTGTAAATAATCTGTAAATCTTTCATCTGCTATTATTTATCCTGTGTTCTAACCCATCAAATATATATATATAATCCATATCTTAACTTTGATGTATAATCAGTATATATAGTTAGGATAATTATCACTGAAGATGTGTGAGGTTATAACACCTTGGTATTGGCTGCCTGTTGCGCATCAGAACTGACGTTTTAATCTAATTAGGACAGTTCCTCTGTCCAGCTATATACAGTTATCTTCATTCTGCATGTGGCAAAGATGTGGGAATGAAATGAGAGCGGTGTCCTTCAGCTAAAAACAAAGTGTAATATTTTGAAGGCTGGGGCCATGGATTTCCAATCATCTGCTAATTTGTATGATGTAAAATGTGATGATGTGGCAGACTGGAGATGCTTTTTAACTGTTAATTGGGTCCACTTCCTGAGAGGTGAGCCCGGTTGGTAAGCAGCTGCCTTCTGTAAAATCTGAGCAACTTTTCTGATCTGAGTAAGATTACAATTTCTATTAAAATCTGTTGTCGTGGCTCATGGTTATTTAATACATATACATTATGAAGTGTTATTTCAAGAGTTTGTCCCGAGTTCATCTCTTTTCAGGAAAAAGAACCAGAGAGAGAAAGTTTCAAGGTGCATACATCTTTAACAAAAGATTCCACATTTATTTGTTTTATAGCCTCTTACAATTGATCTCTGTTTATATATACCATTTATAACCAATACATACATATTCTCTGTACATATCTGTCACATGTAAATAAATATTTATATCCTGTATAGCACCTCTGGATAGATGCTAACTACATTCCAACGCTTTGCAGCTGTGACAGTGTAATTACAATAAAGTTAAATTCTATTCTAACTTGAAGGTAAAGTGAGGTGAGTAGCTGTCAGCTGAGAGGACTTGGATGACTCTTTATTGAGGTAGATCCAGAACCTTGTGGAGGAACAACATGGGATCCTGCAGCAGGATCAGCTTAGTGCCTCCAACCCTATCTATGAATCACCTTTAACTGTTGCAGGGAGTATTTTAGATACTTTGGTACAAGTAGGATCAGGTTATGTATACTTGGTGTTATTCCCCAAACAGATCCATGACGTTTTTTGTAACTTCATGTTTCTGTGATATTTTCTTCCTGGGTTGCAGTTTTTGAAGCCATGACAGCCACACCCCAGCCTGCAGATGAGTCACTCCCTCCTGCACGTCTGCTCACTGGAAAAATGAATGCATTACTTTTTTTTGTCATTCTCCAGCTCTTCTCCCTCATAGTGAGGGTTTTGGTTTGGTGAGTCACCCAGAAACCCTCTGGTTTTCCTCCATGTGTTCAGAGACACGGTGCAGCTGAATGAATGGAGCTGCAGCAGGCCCACAGAGGAGGAGGAGGAGGAGAGCGGGTGAATGATTGAACAGGATCAGCAGGTTTATTATCAGGGCGGTAGCTGACCTTTGGATCCACCTCATCCTACAGCTCAGCTTCTGCTCTGACACTTCAACCATGTGCTAATCTGTTTACAGGTAAAACTTGCCTCTGTCATGGGGAACATCGCTTTTAACTCGCGGTTTAACAGTTAAAACTTCAGTTTGAAAGTATTGGTGGGTTAATACAACACCTACAGCATGATCAGCATGGAAACTGTATTTATTTTGACATTTATTCATTTATTTTGGCTTTGATTTCTAGGAGAGGCGTTTCAAGCCTTGCGTGCCTCCTACGCCCCCCGCGTCACTTCCCCTTGCGTCACTTCCGCCTCCTCCTTTCTCCCCTTCGTTCTCGACATGGCACCGGTACGTCCGGCTTTCTCCTCATACATTAATCCATTTCAACTTGAATGTAATTCATTATTTAGCTCTCTGTCGAACACTGATGAGTCTTAGAAGTTATAGGCACAACTGAAGCGCTTTCAAAGTTGTTTGTTATTTAGGAAACAGTCTAGAAAAGGAGCAAAGTTAGCTTTAGCTTGTCCACGTGTTCCACTCATTGGTGTCCCCGTTGACCAAACTCCGTAGGAAAACAATGGATTTTTGACATATATGCTTGATTCTATTTATTAAGGTGACATTTACGCTTTTTAAATCAAGTGTTGAAGTAGACCGTTACTTTTAACTTAATTCGGCTTAACTTGTAATAGTTTTGCTAAACATGCAAATCTAGATATCTCAGCTTTTACCGTATTTGGTTCTGATCTGTTAGAAATATTAATCTCTCCCGGTTCGACTTTCATGTAGAAATAGTCACTTTTTATATAATCTGTTAGATCGGATGAATATATTTTTAGAGTTTTAATTTGTAGAATAGGAGTTGGACGAAACTGAATATAGTTGAATCTTGATGCAAACCTAAATAAGTTTCTGATGTTAAACATGGCCTAATCTGATTATCATAAATGTGAAGCACAAAAGCTATCAGTGACAACAGTGGTGAAGTAGGAGTGAAACTATTGATTATTAATTAGATTATAGAGACTCTAAAATCATGCTTTTAGCTAACAGAGCAACCAACTGAGCAGAGTACTAGGGCTAGGCTAGAGATTTTTATTAATTTGAGAATAAAGTCATAAAATTATGAGAATAAAGTCCTAATGTTACCAGCATAAAGTTGTATTTTAAATAAAAAAAAAACCCACTGGACTGTGTTTCCCAGTTTGAAGACGTTTTGCTTCCTGGATGGGAAGCGAAACATCTTCAAGTCCAGTGTTTTTTTGTTGTTGTTTTTTTTTTTTGCTTTTTGAGAATGACTATGACCTGGATGACTGAAAATCTTCACAACGACTATTATCAGAACATCAGAAGCACTTTCTTCCCTAAAATGAGGAATGTCGAGCATGATATGAAATTATACTTTGGCATCGGTTTAACAAATAAGGAAATCTTTTGGGCAGAATGTCAAAGTTGCTGTTTGGTGGAGCTGGTTAGCCATCATATGGTTGTCAGAGCTCAAAGCTTTCTTTGTGAAACAGTTTGTGGTATGAGGACTTCATTCTCGTAATTTTTCAACTCTATTCTCTCAATCCTATGACTTCATTCTCATAAATGTACTACTTTATTCTTGTCATGTTACCATTTTATTCTCATAATATTGCATCTTTATTTTCATGGTCTTATGACTTTATTCTAATATTTTTTTCTTTTATTCTATCCTGGACGTAATTCAAGAAAAAAGCCATCTAAAAGGGGAAAATAAATATAATGGAGAGAACTAGTTTTCACAGTGATAGCAAAAACTGATGCTATTTTAGACTGAAGAAAAGGTTTTGGGAGAAAATATTTTGTCATGGAGTAAATAAGATTAATTGACATTTGCAAAATGGATGACTGAGAATCTTCATCAGCGCATTTGGAAAATGCTTTCCAAGGGAAGGAAGCTCTAAATAATATATTTTACTTAGACTCCTTCAGGGAAATTCTGGCAAAATGCCATTAAACATAAGAATACAACAGACAATATAACAAAAATACTCTTATATAAACATATTTTTTTGCAATCGGAGTAGAAACATTTTCTTTCAAAAATAGATTTCCCTCTCAAAGCGTTTTTCTTCTCTCTCAAAACTTAAATCTTTGTTTTTGATTGAGGAATTTTCTCTCATGTGAAAAAGTCATGGGCTGGACTTTATTCTTATTGGTCAGTCTCAACAAAATTGACAGCTGCTGGAAACCAGTTTATTAAATTCAATTTAGTTTATTTATGTAGCGCCAATTCACAACGTTTCATCTTAGCGCCCTGCCCTGCATGTTGAATCCATCCACAGACACTGATCCCTGTAAACGGTATTAATCCTGATAGTGAAGGATGTTTTAGATCAGGTATTGTTAAGAATGGCCCTGATCCATAGAGAGACGGATCTATTAGTACATTTCCATAATAACTAACCTTTCAGTTGCATTTATATATATATATATTTATTATTATTTTTTTTTTCAGAATGGAGTTCATCCTGTTAACGCATTTTAATGGTTTTCTGAGGATCTTTTTTTTTGTCTTCATGCCGATACATACATATTTTAGTAGTTTAGGAGTTTGACAGCCTCTGTAAACAGTATCAGAAAGTGTCAGGATTGGGTATTTAAATGGGATCAGAGGTGGGAAATGTAGAGCCGAACATCCCTGAAGTTACACCAGATTAGTTTTTTTTCCCCCCAGAATGAGGAGACGTTTCAGAGAGCTGTGTGTATCATTTCAGGATCAGATGATTATATTTTAGATTCTGCTGAGTTGTTGGGATTCAGGTGATGTAACGCCACTGATTTGTGATGCAGGTGAAACAGAAGAGACCTGCAGCAGGCAAGAAGTCCAGAAAGGCCCCATCATGGAGGTTTACCTTGGACCTGACCCATCCTGTGGAGGACGGGATCCTGGATTCTGCTAACTTTGTAAGTCCCTCCTGTATCTCTAAACGTGTCCAAAACAGCATTCACAGTTCCCACGACATTACAGGGTGAATGCAGTGCTTTCAGGCAGCTAACGACGCATGCGGACTAGGGCTCCCTTCCCTAGCTCCGGGTCGACTAGGGTTCTCTTCCCTAGTGCATTATTGTGCTCTTGTCTGCTAGGAAACCTTCCTGAAGGAACGGATCAAGGTGAACGGAAAGACGGGGAACCTTGGGAACATCGTCCAGGTCGGCCGCATGAAGAACAAGATTAACGTGACGTCTGAGAAACAGTTCTCTAAGAGGTGAGGCGAGATCTGTCGCTTCTCCTCACAATGAGTTTAATACATGAAATCTGACCCCTGGCCTCCCTTTGACTCCATCCTAGGTATCTCAAGTACTTGACAAAGAAGTACCTGAAGAAGAACAACCTCAGGGACTGGCTGAGGGTGGTGGCGTCTGACAAGGAGACGTACGAGCTGCGCTACTTCCAGATCAGCCAGGACGACGAAGAGTCTGAGGCAGACGAGTGAAGAACTGCAGAAGATCTGTGCAGATTTTTGTTTGTCTGCAAGAGAATAAAAATGGCGATAAAAACACTTTGTTCAATGTAGTCTCTAAAGAAACACACTAGCTGCAGTCCTTTCATCATCTGTGCCCAAATAAGTCTGTTTTTGTTCTAAAAGCGACTAAAAGATCACATCTAAAAGTGAAAGAAAATCCGAATCGTTTCCTTTTAAAAAAAGTTTCTGCCATTTTTTCCTTTTAACCCAATGTTTCTGAATCCAAGTAAAGCTGATGGTTCTCAGAAAACAGAATGAGATTTATTAGTCTTCCTGCCAGCAGAGGGAGCAGTGCTGCTGCAGGACTGAACTGAAATGGGGAGCTCTGAAAGAAAGCATTTAGAAGGAGGAAAACCCCAAATCTACTGTCTATCTGATTCATGAACCATTTATATGGAAGAGATTAGGGCAACTGAAAAAAAAGTTAACTGATTTTAAGATTTCATTTCAGTTTAATATGGGGTAAAAGTCAGAATTCAAACTTTTCTCAGAATTCTGACTTTAATCTCAGAATTTTGTATCTTAATGTAGACGGGCACCATGAAGGAAAGAGATGTTGAGCACTCTGCTTCACTGACAAAGATGTGAGATGTTTGGGAGCCAGTAGCACATTGGTGAAAATGATGGAATTAGGCGACTTTTTACGTGCCAGAGGGGTCCCTGGTGATGCTGTTTATTAATGGAAGAGCAGAAGGTGATTAAAACAAGATAGCTAGTTTCTAAAACAGACATGGCTACGGCTTGATGCTAACATGTTTGTTAGCTGTCAGAATTCTGAGATTAAAATCACAATTCTGAGAAAAAAGTCAGCTTAAATAATACTTAAAAGTCAGTTAACTTTTTTTCCAGTGGCCCTAATCCTCTTCTGTACATTTAAACCATTACTCTACAGCAAGAAACTATGGATGGAAAAGAAAAAAACTAAAAGAGACAAGAGGCATTAAATGGAATTGATTGGAGAAATGGAGCCTTGGTGGAAGTTCAACTGAATAAACTGATTACCTGCCTTCATCCGCCTACGACAGTCAGCATTGAACCACACCTCCACGAAAGCCAATAAAAGGTGTAAAAGGAAACAGGACTACACTGGAAAAACAGCCCAATCTCCAGCATCTATAAACAAGGGTGTTGATGGCAGCAGCACAGCTAATATTTCTCTCCAGGATGGAGTTACAGCCAAACAGGAACAGACGAGGCAAAGCTACTGTGAGAAAAAGGAGAGAAGCCTGATAATTAAAATATCTGCCTCCTATTCTACTTGTAGAAATTCTAGGAACCACTAGTAAACCTGCAGATAGAGAGCGAAGTGCTCTGTTAGTTGTTGTTATAAGGAACGATCAGATCTCTGATGTAAGATTTTAAAGATCTGAAGATAGCAGAGAAAGCATCAATAGATGAGACAGTGATGACGATAAATAAAACAAATAGAAGTGCAGGCATATTTTCATGCGTTTTGTTAATTAACGGCTTCAGAAAGTCCACTGAACTAATGTGAAGAAGAGATGATTTTGAGTGTTTTCATAATTTCTGAATCTTTGCTTGCTCAAAATATTTTTGAGTTTGATCAATTTCAATACTAAAGGCAAGATATCGGATCGGGACTCAAAATCGGATCGGATTTGAGGTTCAAAGATCGGATAAGGATCGGAGGCCTAAAATGCTGATTGGGACATCCCTAGTTATAAGTCATCTGTTAATAAGACGTTCTGCTGGAGAGAGTCCTTTAACTGAAGATGGTGTTCTGTTGTTTAGTAAACACAAATACGGATCATCTCCTGTTTCAACTGGCCTTCTTGAAGAGCCTCTATACAATCTGCACTCCTTTTTCAGATAAGCCATTTGACTGTGTAAAATGTGGAATCAGCTTGGGGAGTGTTGGCCTAGTGGTTAGAGCAGTGTGCTTGTGCTCTGAGAAGGTTGCAAGTACCAAATTTGATCCCCACAGCCTGCACTCTGGGTCCCTGAGCAATGCCTCTAACTCCACACTGCTTCCTGGACGCCAAACAATGGCAGCCCACTGCTCCCCAAGGGGATGGGTTAAATGCAGAGGTACATTCTCCATTTTAAGACCAATAAAGTTCTGTTTCTGTTATCTGATCATGACTGTTGAATTGTGGACCATTATCCATCACCACAGTTGACAGGATACCAGCAAATATGCCTTTTGTGCATTTGATTACTTTCTGCAAGGTGGATTTTTTAATGCGAGTGAGAGCAAGAAGGCAATACAACAATTCGTTCATCATGTGTGGATTAGAACTACTGTGATTGGGCAGACAACAAGAGAGAGCGGGGTGTGGGGAGGAGGCTGCTGGTGAAATCTGTGCAGCGTATCTGTCCAAAGCGATGCTCTGTTCAGTGAGCGTTCCAGGTGGCTGGTTGTCAGAGCGCTGATGGGATCAGTCCCATAAGTTTCGGGTTACTCTCACCTAGTTACCACTCAAAGCTGTGCATCCTGTGAAACGGCAGAGGTTCAATCCTCGAGTAAAAAATTTAAATATCAGACTAATTTTACAGCAGAATATACTCAAGTATATCCACGTCTAGTGAAGGTGAGGAACAGTGGCGGATCTAGACAAAATGTACCAGGGGGCCAGGAGGGGGCCAGCATGTTTTCATGGGGGCCCAGAAGAGCATGAAATAAAAAACAGGGCAAGAGATTCAAATATATTAAGAGAGCTGCATGAAGGGAAGATTCTTTTCAATTAGGTCCAATAAAAATGATGGGGTCAATATACATTTATAATTTAGCAATTTTAAATATTTTTGACTTAATTTAAGTTAAAACCACCATTTTCTATAAAATTAAGATTAGAATTCAAGAAAAACTGTTAAATTCATCTGTAAAAATTAGAGCATTTTTTTCTATCTATTTGTTGTGAAAAAAAAAAAAACCTTAAGCAGATGAAAACTGGGATCCTATTTAAACACCACTGAAGCTATAACCTTATTGTTTTTGAATAATTACTAAAACAGAATTTGTAAAGAAAAAGAATGAAATAAATCCAAAGGACCTATCAGTAACCATGTCTGTTCCAGCGCAGATCATAATTAGAATTTCTTTTAAGTATTATGTCTTCTGTACAGGGCCAAGGACATGATCTACAGGGGCATCGGCCCCCGTTGGCCCCTGTCTAGAACCAGCCATGGTGAGGAACGATGACACTGTGGCGAGGTGCACTGTATGCTGAAGTCCCATGAATATAAGAAAGCACAACTGATGTTCAAGGCTACAAGATTGAAAGTATTGGAAATTGAAAATAAAAGACCAATACTGTTCTGTTTTGTGTTTAAGAAATTACTGTTAGTTAATAAACAGCAGTTGAAAAGTTGCTGGCCTTAAGTGTGTCTGTATGGGCCATGCTGTGGGTCCGTTGTCCCCATGGTGTGTGTGTGTGTCTTTTGGGGGGGCATGATAAGCACCTCCCTGAAATGAGTTTTTGGAACTTGGGATGTCTGTAACTCCCAGTGTCCTTTCCTGCTAAAGCAATCATTAAAAGTTTAGATAAATACGATTAGATAAATTCTTTAATGTCATAATACCAGTGGCTTCTTTTGTTAGACAGACACTTGGATGGGTATGGGGTATTGCAGTCTAACAAAATAAGCCCTTTCTCTGTTCCAATTTGCATGTTTTCAAAATAAAAACAAGGCTTTGTTGGGCTACTGTAAAAAACCTGAAACTCAACGCTATTTCTGACATTTTGAATTGGAAAAGCTTCCTGGATGGAAAGTGAAACATCTTCCGGCTTGGAAACAAAGTCCAGTGAATTGTTTGTAATTTTCTTTTTTTGCAATGGCTGTGACCTGGATGACTGAGAACCCTCACCAGCACTTTAAACAACCTCAACGGGCGTTCATCCCTTTAGTTATGTACAACAACAAAAAACTATTTAAGGTGAGATCACCATACGCTTCATAAAACGCCAAAGAGTAAGAAATTAAATTGTTTTTAAATTGTTTTTGTACATGACTAAAGGGATACACGGCCGTTCAGGTAGTTTAAAGTCTATTTTTCGCACAAAACTAAAGGTATAAACCATAGGGATAAACGGGTACTGACTATGGGTATGCTGGTCTGACAGAACCCCGCCTTTCAGTGTCGTTGTGTCCTTGGGCAAGACACTTCACCCGCATTGCCTACTGATGGTGGTCAGAGGGCCCGGTGGCTCCAGTGTACGCTTCTGTCAGTGTGCACCAGGGCAGCGGTGGCTACAGTGTAGCTCACCACCATCAGTGTCTGAGTCAATGACTGAATGTAGTGCAGTGCTTTGGTTAACTCCTCTGACATGAAATTGTGCTACTGTATTTAAGGACAGGCCATTTACCAACAAAGAGATGCTTTTATACTAAAACTGTGGTTGGTAGAACCTCCCTGTTTAAGGACCTGCTTCAAAGCAGAACATCTCACTTAATCTTAGGGCGGTGAAGATTCAGGATGAGGGCAGATACTTGTGCCTCATTAGTACTACAACTGGAATTAAGCAGGGACTGTTTATCAACCTCAGAGTTTATGGTATGTAAAAACTGAACCTTTAACTTATGCTACACCTCACTGTAAACCTTCTGGATATCTGGCTTTGCTGC